GTGTGTGTGTGTGTGTGTGTGTGTGTGTGTGTGTGTGTGTGTGTGTGTGTGTGTGTGTGTGTGTGCGCGCGCGCGCGCGCGCGTGTGTGCATATGCGCGCCTGGGTCTGCTGCCGCGCACGCGTCTATTCGCCTAACTATATACGTCTAATCATGAGCTATTATGACATGTATTATTAAAAATAATGTATTTTAATAGCTCTTAGTCTAATCAATCATACACCAACACGCTGAGTGGCGTATGTAAACTATGTATGCACTACGCCGCAGCGTACATGGTCTAGCAGCCTCATTCAGGCGCCTAACTCAAGTTCCCACTCACGTAGCTTGTTACGAGACTCTCTCGGTCCGTCCACGGTCACCTTGATGGCTCGCTGGTAGGTAGCTACTTGTGGCGGACAGGTGCCGACAATGATAGTCAAGTTGAAGCTTTTACCTGCGAGAGGAAATCGATCGTCAGGCGCGTGTGCGCAGAGCCGACTACGTGGTAATTAATCCACCGCCTCTAGCAACTGCGGCAAATCCCGCAGCAGATGATATGCGATAGCACACACAGGCACTTGGAGCGTTTCAATAAAATATAATGCTAAATAAATACGAAATCTATTTACTACCAAAGTCTTAATGTTTCTATACTCTCTTTCACCTATTATTGCCGACAATTTCCTGTAAATGCCGTCGAAATGCTCATCTGCAAACACACGCTGGCCGCCATTGCTCACGCTGCACCTGACACTTAAATATATAGTGTGAACTAACTATATATATCTACAGGAGCGTATAATGACAAATATTTGTCATTATACGCTCCTGATATCTACTATATATATATGAACTAACTATATAACTATATATTTAAGTTTCAGTGTGCAGCGTGAGCAATGGCGGCCAGCGTGTGTTTGCAGATGAGCATTTCGACGGCATTTACAGGAAATTGTCGGCAATAAAAGGTGAACGAGAGTATAGAAACATTAAGACTTTGGTAGTAAATAGATTTCGTATTTATTTAGCATTAAATTGTATTGAAACGCTCCAAGTGCCTGTGATAGCACATGACGTTGGTCGCAAACAAGGCTATTGATATCCCCCATCCCCCGAGTTAGCTCGCATATGATGCATTTATCACATAGAATGTTAATCTGCTGTTATCGCAGTGCGTGTTATACAGGATGTTAGAAAGCTTCGTGAACACGCGCCCTATATGATACGCATATTTTTTATACACAGGAACACGCACACACAAATGCATGGCTTATATGAGGAGCACTTTGAAGCGCGCGCGAGTTGTGTTAACTCTACGCCTCCGCTCCGTGACAGGACCACTGCAACCTGCGACAGAGCGAGGAAACAGACGGGGGAAGCTAAATATGTGCATATCCGCTGTTATCTATTTTCGTATTTTCCCTCTAGTTGTTGATCAGCCGCGTTTGAAGTATTGACGTCACCAATATATTGCTTGGTGACGTCAATACTTCAAACGCGGCTGATTATTATTATAGTCATTATACTACATGAACTATATTAAATCTTCTGCATCTCACACCGGGACGTCTTTCTTTTCTGTCACGATTGATCTGCAAACAAGTCAGCGCGCGCGATAACAAGCGATATATAGGGAGGATAGAGAGAGCTGTGCGCACACATGCATTAACTCATTCCGAACATGCTCACACCGGGACGTCTTTCTTTTCTGTCTCGATTGACATTTATTTGAAATGTTCTTCACGTCACACGCGCCCATGTGTCAGCGTGTAGGGTCGGCGCGCGCCTGCGTTCGTGCATGTGTGAGTACGCGCGAGTGTGTGCGTGTGTGTGTGTGTGTGCGTGCGTGCGTGCGTGCGCGCGCGCGCTGTGTGTGTGTGTGTGTATGTGTGTGTGTGTGTGTGTGTGTGTGTGTGTGTGTGCTGTTGTTGTGTGTGTGTGTGTGTGTGTGGTTGTGGTGTCGTGTGTTGGTGTGTGTGTCGTGGTGTGCTTGTTGTGATGTGTGGTGGTGTGTGTTGTGTGTGATGTGATGTGGTGGTGCTGTGTGTGGTGTTGTGTGTGTGCTGTGTGTGTGCTGGGTGTCTGTCTGTGTGTGGTATTGTGTGCCTTGTGTGTGGTGTTGTTGTGCTGTGTTGTATGGTTGTGTGTTGTATGTGTGTGTGTGTGTGTGTGTGTGTCGTGTATCGTGTTCCTGGATGCTGTTGTGTGTGTATGTGGGGTGCTGTGTGTGTGTATGTGCGCCGCGCGTCGTGCTGATACGGTATGTGGTGGCGACGTTAGCGAAAAGGCGAACATGCAGCGCCGCGCAAAACAGCGATATATGATCGAGACGATGAGAAAAGTTAGCCTCACACATGCATTAAATCATTCGAACATGCAGCATATATGACACCCCACAAGCACACACACTCACGTCGCGCGCGCACACACACACACACACACACACACACACACCACACACACACACACACACACACACACAGACACACGACAACACACACACACACACAAACAAACACACACACACACACACACACACACCACCACGCCCACACATGAACGCGCCATGTATGTATATCACTCCCGCGACCCGACCGATCCGCACGAAGCGCAGGTCGATTGAATTTCGCCACTGCGTGCTTGATCGTCGCCGTCGCGTTGCGCACGCTCGGCGAGTAGTTCTCGTCGTTCCGGCTTTGATGCCGTGACCGCGCGCTGCCGTCGGCGACGTCGCCCAGCGCCACCACCTTAAAGCGACGCAGCGTCTGTTCGAAGCCCAGCTGCGACGGCCAGCCACAGCAGCAGAGACGATTCGGACTTGCCCGCTGCGTACGAGCTCCCCCGCGTGTGCTCGCCTCAGCACCGACGACACGCCGCCCAGCGCGGTCTGTCATGCCGGCGTACAGCCAGGCGAGGCTCGACGCGCGGGGTACCGATGCATGCCGCTGCTAGAGCCTCGCATAGCGAGTGTGTGTGTGTGTGGTGCTGGGGGGGGGTACCAAGAGCGTCAGATCGTGCGTGTGCTCTCTGTCGTCCGGCGGGATTGCGTAATGACTGGCCAAATGTAACCTCTGAAGAGCGACGTCGTGTACGACAGTCGTCACGCGCCCGCACGCAGCACGAAGTCACGGCGCCACGCACCACTGCGCGCACACGCCACGCACGCACGCCACGCACGCAACACGCGCGCGGGCCGCGTACGCAACCCACACACGCACCCCCGTTATTAGTAGGTAGTTATGAGTAGGTGGTGGCGGAACTAATGCTAGCAGTCACGTGGCGGTATTGGAAGCGCAGCAGTGACAACCTGCTGATACATAGAAGCGAGTTACGGTGGCGCGGCATGCTGCTGCTAACCGCTCACATCAGTGATGCGCGTGTTTTTCCGATTGCCTGATCTGTGTACACTAGATTCGTAGGGATGTCGTGAGTCTCAATAAATTCACTCTAGATAAATAACGAGTCATCGGCGACTAACGAGCGGCAAGTTATTTTTCTTAAACCTGGTGTGTAAACCAAACAAACAATGTATGGTGAACCAATATGTAACGCTGTGACACTTTCTCTCTCTCTCTCTCTCTCTCTCTCTCTCTTTCTCTCTCTCTCGCTTTCTCTCTCTCCCTCTCTCTTCTCCCTCTCTCTATCTATCTATCTATCTATCTATCTATCTATCTATCTATCTATCTATCTATTTTTCTATCTTTCCCTTTTCCTCTCTTACTCGCACACACACTCACACATTCCCTCTCTCTCACTCTTCACCGTCTATCTCTTTCTCTTGTTATCTAATTTACTACATCTACATCAAGAGTACATAATCTCTACTATGTACTTTTGATCTACATCTATGTCTTTCACGCTTTCTTCTCTATCACACTCTCTCGCCCACTCCCTGTTATTACACACGTCTTCCCACGCGGTTCCACACGGGCTCGCACAGGTGCGCGCTTCCAGGCACCAGCTAGGGCTGGCGTGTCGCCAGGTTTACCTCCGTCTGGCTATCGGTGACGTCACTGCTCGTGACGGCAGCCGCGGAACGGCTCACGCGCGCAGACGATTATATTTACACGGTCGCCTAGCCAACCACGACGCTTACACCAGTCGCCAGCAGGTTCCCTCCGCCCCTCCGCTCGCTGCCGGTCCATCAACTTCCTCGCGTGCTCGCTAGGTCTATTTCTCTCTCGGTCGGCACTCTCCCTATCCCGATCCCTACGCCTATGCTCATCTCTATCCCTAGCCATATCTCTATCCCCATGCCTATCCCTAACCCTAACCTTAACCCTAATCTAAACCTAAAGGCTAACACTACTTATAAATTAAGCTCTACTTCTATCACTGTGCCTAACTGAAACCCTGAGCCTAACGCTAACCATAACCCTATAAGCCTACCTCTACCGCAAACCATTTACCATAGCCATATCGCTAACTCTATTCTTTTATGTCTAGCTCTACCATAGACACGCGGTTGAAAATTTGTATCAATACAAGCGGCTATATTTATACATCAACGCCGAGCCAAGGCATTCAGCTAACGGTGCTGTGGTGCAAGGCGGTATATATATATCGACGCTTTTCGGTGGGTGAGGGAATGTAGCGGATATCGGCTCGTCTCTCGCTGCACTTCCGACGCAGGACGCCTCGTAGCGACACAGCAGCAATTGCTCGTAATAATTCACCGACCGCGCGCGGAAGGAGCGGCGGTATTCTGCTGCAGCCGTCGGCACAGCGCGACGGAATCGCGGCCGCGGCGGCGTTCGCGGCGGAAAGAAACGCTCCGATCGCGCGCGCGCGCGAAAAAAAAAATTGCACAGCGTCGCCGCGCGTGGTCGCAGTGATCGTGATGTTTGCTTGTCGTTGCATGCCACCGCCGCCGCCGCTGCGACGACACGGCGGCGGCGGCGCGCGCTGTTTGATGTTGGGTCGATGCCGCGAAGTGGTTGCATGCGGCGCGTCGGCGGCGTGGCGACGTGGCGGAGCGAGCAGGGCGCGAGACGACGCAGCTGGCCGACGAATTAACACGTCGCCGGTTCCCCGTCCGCCGTTCAAATCGAAGGCGCCGCCGCCGCTGCCGCTGCTGCCATGGTGACGGGCACGGGCGTGCTACATTACGCGTGTGGCAGTCAGCGTAGCGGAGTACAACTGCCTGATGATGCGACACGCTGCTACTTTATGAAAGAGATCAGGGTTGAAGGTGGGCGCAATTGAAGATCGATTTAAACGCTGTTAATATTTAATATGTGCAGGGCAGCGAGTGAGCGAGTGAGTTAGTGTGTGAGTGCATGAGTGTGTTAGTGAACGAGTGAGTGGGTGTGTGTGTGAGTGAGTGAGTGAGTGGGTGAGGTGCGGAGTGTTGAGTTGAGTCAGCAGTGAGTGAATCTGAGAGTGCAGTGAGTGAGTGGAGTGGTGAAGTGAGTGAGTGCGTGAGTGAGTGAAGTGAGTGAAGATGATGTGAGGTGAGTGCCGTGAGCGAGCGAGCGAGGCGTGTGAGGGGTGAGTGAGTGAGCTGCGTGCGTGCGCGTTAGCGAGCGAGCGGAGTGTGAGTGTAGTGAGTGCAGTGGAAGTGAGTGAGGACAGTGAGTGCCGGTGAGTGAGTGAGTGGGGTGCGTCAGAGCTGAGCTGAGTTGCGTGCGTGAGTGAGTGACGTGGGAGTGAGGGTGAAGTGCGCTGACGTGAGTGAGTGACGTGAGTGCGTGCGTGAGTGAGTGAGTGAGTGAGGAGTGAGTGACGGAGTGAGTGAGTGAGTGAGTGAGTGAGTGAGTGAGTGAGTGAGTGAGTGAGGCGCAATTATTGGCCATCCGCCTCTAGCTATCCAAATAGAGCGCAGCTGCATATAGCAAGTGTGCGCGGCCAGCCAGCCGCAAAACACTCCCTGCAGCATCTCTCGTCTTCAATCAGTCATGAGCGATCGGTCCGTCATCGCTTGTTTTTGATGCCGCCATGATTTGAAACTACATTACTCACCAACTCTACACTCTCGAATCACATCGTAATTGCTGCGTAAAACACTGCTGCCGAGCGTATCACACCCACTTCCGATTTGCGAATGTCTGTGAGAGACTGACTGTGTGGTGAACGTGGTTCTCTAATCAGTTTTCGGCATGTTCTACTTCAAACCACATTGATTATATCGCCGCCAGCACGAGGCGAGCGCGACACACACGCGCACGTCGTATTCGATGAGCTCATTCTGTCACGCGAGATCACAATGTTTCTTTTAGGCAGCAAGCATGGTGTGGGAGGTGGAGGAGAGGGAGAGCATGTGCGGTGGTGTGGGAGGTGGAGGAGAGGGAGAGATGTGCGTTGGTGTGGAGGTGGAGAGAGGGAAGAGATGTTGCGCTGGTGGGAGGGTGAGGAGAGCGAGAATGGCGTGTGTATGGAGGTGAAGCGAGAGGGAGGAGATGTGGCGTGGTGTGGGAGGTAGAGGAGAGGCGAGAGAGATGCTGCGCGGTGTAGGAGTGGAAGGGAAGGGGAGATTGCGCGTGTGGGAGGTAGAGAGAGAGGGAGAGACGTGCGTGGTGCGATGGGAGTGGAGGCATAGGAAGATGTGCGCGGTGTGGGAGGTGGAGGAGGAGGAAGCGTGCGTGGCTGTGTTGAGTGGAGGAGAGGCGGAGATTGCGCGATGTGGGAGGTGGACGGAGGAGGAGACGTGCGTGGTGTGTGAGGGGAGGAGGGGGAGATGTGGCGTGTGTGGAGGTGAGAGGGGGACGAGATTGTGCGCGGTGTGGGAGGTGGAGGAGAGGGAGAGATGTGCGCGGTGTGGGAGGTGGAGGAGGGGGAGAGATGTGCGCGGTGTGGGAGGTGGAGGAGAGAGGCAGAGATCGTGCGCGGCTGTGGGAGGTTGGAAGAGGGAGAGACGTGCGCGACTGTGGGAGATGGAGGAGGGAGATATGCGTCGGTGTGCGAGAGGTGGAGGAGGAGCGGAGAATGTGCGCGCGTGTGGAGGTGGGAGGAGAGGAAGAGATGTGCGTTGAGTGCGGGGGTGGAAGGGGGGGAGAGATGTGGCGCGGTGCTGGGAGGTTGGAGAGGGAGAGATGATGCGCGGTGTGGAGATGGATGAGGGAGATATGTGCGCTGGTGTGGGAGTGGAGGAGAGGGAGAGACGTGCGTGGTGTGGGAGGATGGAGTGAGCAGGGAGAGACGTTGCGTGGCTGTGGGAGGTGGAGAGAAGGGGGAAGAGAATGTGCGGCAGTGGGGGGTGGAGGAGGAGGAGCCGTGCGTGGTAGTGTGAGGTGGAGGAGAAGCGGAGAGATGTGCAGCGGTGGTGAGGTGAGGAGGTGGCGTGTGGGAGGATGTTGAGGCAGGGGCGAGAGAGGATGTGCGGCGGTGTGGGAGGTGAGGGAGAGGGGAGAGATCGTCGCGCGGTGTGCAGAGGGTGGAAGGAGAAGGCGAGAGATGTGCGCGGTGGTGGGAGGTGATGGAGGGGAGAGACGTGCGGTGGTGTGCGGAGAGGTGGGAGGGAGGGAGATGTGTGTGTGTGGGAGGTGGAGGAGGGGAGAGATGTGTTGCGGGTTGTGGCAGGCCGTGACGGAGAGGAGAGATGTGCGCGTAGTAAGGAGGTGAGGCACAGGGGAGACTGTGCGCAGGTGTGGCGAGGGTGCGACGGAGAGGGAGAAGGATGTGCGCGGTGTGGGAGTGGAGGAGGGGGAGATGTGGCGGTGTGGGAGGTAGAGGAGAGGGAGGGAGAGCGTGCGTGGGTGCGGGCGTGGAGGAGGGGGAGAGATGTGGGCGGTTGTGGGGGAGGTGGAGGAAGGAGGAGACGTGCGTGGTGTGTGAATGGAGGGGGGAAAGAGTGCGGGAGAAGAGGGAGAATGTGCGGATGTGGGCAGGTAGAGGAGAGGGAGTGAGATGTGCGCGGGTGTGGGAGGTGGGAGGAGGGAGAAGATTCGCGGGAGGA